AAGATAAATTTGCCCCCGTAACAATATAAATTGGTGCGATTCACGAGTGTATAGTGAGACAAGTTCATTGAATAGTTTGAAACATCGGTAAACTTATCAATATTTTGCTGGCCTATGTATATTTACGTTCTTAGAAAGAATGTTAATGAGAGAAATATGATATCTTAGTTTATTCATTTCAGATTATACACAGATGTACATAGGCGTAGTGTGTTATTGGGAATATATTTATTAAATAGACTTTATTATTAACTTTAAAATAGTTTTAAGGTAAGTAAAGTAAAATTGATGCCAGTTTATTCTTTATATAGTATTAAACCCTTAACTGCCGCTGAATATACAAAGAGAAATTTGACAATTAATTTATTAGATTGGATTAAAAACACATAAATTAGGACTAATTTACAACCAAAAACATTTTTTTTATCATTTTCAAGGAAAACAGTATAATTTTCAATAAAGGAACGTATTGTATCTTAAACGTAAATTAAATTTTAAGGTGAAAATTTTCGAAACATTCGGGTGTAGATGCATTCTACACTTTTTACATAAACTTTTGTTATGTATTACTTTTGTACATCCTACCTTTTTGCACTATTGTCTCTTTTTGTAATGTGGCCAATATTGTCGAATCTGGTTTCATCTGGTAAAGCAAATTTAGATTGACGTTCATGTACTAAGTGACACTGATGTAGCGGTTTCTTCACTATTATAAATTAAAATTATAAATCTATCTCGGCTTATGCTTTCTCTTATAATATGCACTTCTTTATCCTCATCCTTTGACCAATGCATATCAACTTGAAGCAGAGTGTAAAGCAGATAATATACATAAGCTAATATATATTTTTTAAATATTAAAAAATACATTAAAAAAATATTAAAAAATACATAAAAATTATGTTATTCATTTCAAAATTGTGACGGTTAGTCTCAATTACTTTATTATCAAAAAGAGTGAAAAAACTTCAATATATGACTTGCCTACATGGTTGGCTTTTATACTGTCTAAATATCAATCAGACTGATATTGAATAACTACTATTGAATAACTACTGAGCACGAATGAATATCCGTTATTACAACTTGAGATAAATTTGGATTTACTATTTTTGCCTGGTTTTTTCTTTGGACGTTTTATCTGCGGTTCAGAGGAATATCATAATCAGAATCGTCAGAATTCCCTTGTCACTTGTATTTCATATGTACCTGCTATATCCGATTTTATTGATTCTTCACAAATAATATTATCATCAATGTCTTCAAGGAATACAATAATATACCAGTAAACGAATGGGAAATATACCTGACGGAACTGTTTAAAGCAAAGGAAAATAATAATCAACACAATAACGTAACTGAATTAAGACACAAAATAAAAATCAGTTTTTAGGAAGTAGAAATAGTCATAAATTCACTCAAAAATAAAAGGTCCCCAGGACTAGACGGAATAACCAACGAGCTTCTAAAATACGAAGGAGAAAGTATAACCCTAGAGATGACAAAACTTTTACAAAATCTAATATTGCACTGCAAGATACCAGACGCATGGAGAAACAGCATAATAATACCAATGTTCAAGAAAGAAGATAAAGAAGACCACAACAATTAAAGATGTATAAATCTACTGAACACTGCACTTAAGCTTACCACAAAAGTCCTAACCAACAAAATCAATAAACTAACAACTTTATCAGATGAACAACAAGGATTCAGATCCGGATGATCCTCCGTAGACGCCGTATTTTTACTAAGACAAATCACAGAAAAGGCCATCCAGTACAATAAACCAGCATATCTATGTTTTATAGACCTGACAAAGGCTTTCAATCGCATCCAAGTCGAAGACGTCTTACACCTACTGTATAAAAGAAACATACCAATCAATATTATACAAACCATCGAAAGCATCTACCTCCATAATCGAATACAGGCAAAGATAAATGGAAAACTAACACAGTGTATACCAGTACAAAGTGGAGTCAGATAGGGTGACTCGTTAATCCCACTTCTCTTTAATATAATAATGGACGATATAATACAAGCAGTACGTAAAGGTCATGGCTGCAGAATGGTTAACAAAGAAATCCAAATATTATGTTATGCAGACGACGCCGCATTAATCGCCGAGACAGAAGACGAGCTCTAAAGATTAACACATATCTTCAATACAACAGCTAAGAAATACAATATGATAATATCAGCAGAAAAAGCCAAATGTATGACAACATCTAAATACCCACTACGGTGTAAATTGATAGGAAAATAATAAAGCCGGAAGCATGGTTTAGATATCTGGGAATAGATATAACTAGATACAGATGTTTAAGAAGAAGTACGACAGAAAAGCTTAAAATCAAGTAAAGCAGCGGGTTCTTTTAATGACACAATCTGGAAGAACAAACACCTAAGACAAGACACAAAAACAAGAGTCTATAAAGCAGCAATTAGACCTATATTAACATACATGGCGAAGACAAGACCTGACACATCTAAAACGAGTCGACTGCTAGAAACAACAGAGATGAAAATACTCCGACGAATATCAGGGAGAAGTCTGTTGGATAGGAAGAGAAGCAAACACATAAGAAGAGCATGCAATATAGAAGACATAAATGGATGGGTGACAAAACAAAAACAGGAGTGGAACGAATACATCAGTAGAATGGCAGAGAATAGAATAGTACGAATAGCACGAGATAAGTCACCAAATGGACGAAAAAGTATTGGCAGACCAAGAAATAGATGGTAGGATAATTTAAGTAATTTAGGATACTAATATTGAAAAAGAAACAGGCTTTAAAGCCTACATACTAGAAGAAAGAAGAAGAAGAAGATCAATGTATTCTACATCAGAAACTTTTTAATCTAATCTCAGCGTCAAATAAACCACATTAAATGAGTCAGCATTTTCACAATCTGAGTCTTCTTCTAACAAAGCTATTAACTCTTTAGTAGTTTGTGCCATCTTCATTTCATTTACTGAAATAAACAAATACACTACGATATAAACTCATTCACATGATAATAGTTTAGCTTACTTAATTTTAATTTATATGAACTTTATAATATATTTTTATATTTATATAAACAAAACACAAGGAAACTTTTAAATTAAGTTAAAAAAAAAACAAATATAACGTTTACAGTACACAGCAGTTCTACAAATAGAGAATGATGTGTAATTAAAATTGCAGATTGTTTTTAGTCTAATGAAAAAAAAAAAAAGAAGTATTTTCCAAAGTTTTCTATTTTTTGTTAAGTTCTGTATTAGATACTCTCTAATCAAAATAAAATTTACTTTATTTTGTTAGACAACTATAAGATACCTGTTAAAAGAGACATGATAATTTAATAATTAAGTCGGTCTGAGATTTAATTTTTACCTAATTACTTATGTGTTTAAATAAATATTAAAAAAATTTTTTGGTACGCCTCTGCGAAATTGATAATTTCAATACGATTTCGTTGAAAAGTTATCGTTAAGGGCTTCGTTAAGTACGATGTTGCCAAGTAATCACCTTCAATTAAAAATTGTTTTAGTATAATAGTTTAATTTTATCTGACCCACTCATACTGATAATTCCGACATAATATCATATATCTCAATGGATTTTGTCGTTTTAAATTTTGTAGTGTTGTATTTATTTCCTATACTTTTAAGTTTTTCTGATCAATCTTTTGGGCATTTAGGAGTGAGTAAGGTGCGTAAGTGAGCTAGGTGAGTGAATGAGGTGAGTGGGTGAGGTAAATGAGTGATGGGAGTAACCTTGGAGAGTACGATTAGTGAGTACTCATATAGAAATTGGGATAGGTACAGTGTTAAGTTCTCATAATGGTTTTTTCATCAACAGATTATCCAGTTATAAGTTACGGTATAAAGTAACTTTTTTTTAGTCTTGGAAAATTACCTCTTATTTTCTTAATTTTTAATATTTTTGTAACAAAATTCAGATAATACTATTGAAATGTTGTACGATAATGTACTGTTATAAAAAAATTTATTATAAACAATTTTCAAAAAAAAAAATCCTAATCCTTGCGCCTTAATGGCGCAATTTTTGTTTCATTTTCTCAATTCTGTAAAATTCCTTATTTATGAATGACAAAGGATAATCTTTTTTTCTAAAATATATGGTTAATTTTTCTAACGTATATTATTGTGGTTTATTTCCATAAAATCTAGTAGTAAATAGAAAAATATGTATACGCTTCTAAAAAATAAGAGAGAAGTCGAAAAACCAGTGCAATATTGGAGTTCTTCAAAATTTAATTCGCCTTTTTCCAAAACTCACACGTATTTCTTTTCTAAACTAATAATAATTATACATAATTAATATAGCTGGTATTATAGACCAAATTCCATTCTGTATTCATAAATGAGTCGGTCAGATAACCAAGCGGACTTGGCGACCGGTTTCTCATTCGCTTCACTGCGAGTGGTTCAGCGGATGTGAGTTCGATCCCCAGCTCGGTGTCCAGAAAACAAAAAGGCTAACGCAACAGTTTAAAATTCTAAATGAATCTGCGGCTTAGACTAGAATATGCCGGTACCTGATCAGCCTATGGTGGAGCAGTACGGCAAGAGATAAGGGCTTGCGGTTCGGTGAAACTCCTCCATAGATCCCGGGTATATATATATATATATATATATATATATATATATATATATATATATATATATATATATATATATCTATATTCATAAATGAAAAATATAAGGAAGCATATCTTCTTCTTTAGGTACCATCTCCTCTAAGGAGGTTGGTAATCATCACAGCTATTTTCACTTTTGAGATTGCAGCTCTGAACAAGTCGACGGAACTGCAATTATACCACTTTCTCAGATTGTTAAGCCAGGAGATGCGTCTTCCAGCCAGGAAGCATATAAAACACCTTAAAAAGAATATCCAATATTTATCGAAATTTCTTTAACTTTTCTCTGGTTTTCTGATAGCATTACTAGTATTGTAAAGATAGGTTAATAAAACAAATACATTAGATCAATTCTTTATTATTAAACAAACGTAATACTTTGAGGATAATACAAAAACACAATGTAAATATTTTACTACCATATATAATTTAAGTTATATAAAAAATATTGAGCTGAAACTACAGTATTCCATAATTGCGTGAACACACAAGTTTAATAGTAAAATGGTAATTTAAGATTATTTTTTTTAAATATATGCTTTTGGCAATACAATATAATATAATACAACTAATATAAATAAAAATTCGCTTACAAATATTCGCAACATCAATAATATCTTTTTAACTTAAAATAAGGGAAAAACAATGAATCCTTTTTACAGTTAATAGTTATCAAACATTTACAATAAAAATAAACAATTCAAAGTTACTTCAACAAGGTACTAGACACTTTGATGTTTCACATATTATTTCCGGATAACTAATTTACGTTTTATACCTATACAAATGGCTATTTATTAATAGCGTCAACTTAACGTAACAGAAAAATGAAGTTATAGAAGATCCTGAGGAGCATCATACAACAATAACTGGAGGGCAATATATCGCTTAAAAGGAATAAAGGCATCGATATGGAAAAGGAGGAAATATAAGAATAATAACGAACAACAATTCAAAAATGCAAATAAAATATCAAATAAGCGAAGGAATTATGCTACAACATATACAGGAAAATTACAAAAGCAGCTGCCACATACAATAATGAATGTATTAGAAACATAATGGACAAAAATAATAAAAAAAATTATACGGTTTTCCATCAGCCAGCATCAGTATTTCTGATATTTGTTTAGTTGATATTTAGATATAAGCCAGCATTTAAACTTATTCAACCACTGGAAACACGAAAAAGAGAAGTAGCCCAACATACAGTCAAACAATTGAAAGTGCAGAGAAAATAAATACATGGGAAGAATATATAAAAGAACTAAAAGCGACGAAAAAATTGAGACAATCGAACCAACAGGAAGAAATGAACCTGCAATTGCTACGGGGAAATAAAGAAACACTAAAAAATGGTAAAGTCAGGGAACCGACTAAAATACATACAGAAATATTAAGACTACTAACAGAGAAAAACATTGATAAACTAGTAGAATTATTCAACAAAATCTACGATACTCGGTAATATCTGTGTTCATCCCAGTATCCAAAAAACCCAACGCAATGAAATGTAAAGAATACAGAAAGACCAGTTCTTCTTCTTCTTGTGAGTGCAGTAATATTGAGTTAAATGCATATTTTTCTGAATGATCTAAAACAATGAAGACAACTATTAATTTAAAAGAAAATATATTGAAATATATTTCCAGAAGCAGTTGGTTTTAAAAAGTCTCCTTAAAACGCAGAAGTTCCCGGAGTTAAAAAAAAAAACGTGAAGTAACTGAAAAAATTTAAAGATTACGGGCCAGAATAGATTTTATTTTAGTTAAAACATACATGTACCTTCTCAGAATATAAACGTAACAAAATGGCTGCAATGGTGTCGATTTTTTACATCTTAGCTGAATACAACCAGAAATATATTTTCTGTTTAATTTCTTTGGTCATCTGTAAATCAGGATTCAGTTTTTTTTTTAATAAAAACAGTCTACAAACTAATATCGATTACAAAAATATTGAACACAGAATTTTACATCTTAAATCCTATGAGTATGTCATCCAACATTTAAAATAACAAAATATAAGGCAATTTTGTGTACCTGAGTCTTCACAATAGTCTCGGCAGCTCAAATCTTACTTTTGCGGGTGGATGCTATCGTACGAGGGAGGAACTGTAATAATTAAACAAATTAAAATTCAAACTATAACATATCCTAAAGTTATGTAGCTAGAGATCAAAACACAATCTATCATTTTTTAAAAACAAAAAAAAATATTTTTTATTTTTTTTAAGTTTATTTTTTTGAAAGATTGACAATTGACTTTGACAACGTCTGCGGCTCGACTGCTCAGAAACAAGTCGGGACGCGAACGCCAAGCGGCCACTTTTCATATAGTTAACAGTAGTAGTGATTTAGAAATGTCGAAAAAATTTTCCCATGTTGATGATGAACTTTTCATTAATGCAATACATGAATTTCCATGTTTGTACAATCTTTGTTAATTTTTTTCTAAAAATGCATCTCTGTGTAGGCAACAGGTTTCTAGAACTAGTATATCGACCCAATCTGGATGTACCGTTATTGGGATGTAGCAGATCCAAAAAGTTTGGCCAAATGCATTTTCAGTGACTCGCCGAGCACTACATAATCTACAGTTATAAATAGTTTTTCGTTTATCAGATTTAGCAGACGCCTTGCTGTATGGTTTCATCACATGTTAATGTAATCTAAAAGCTTCATCCCCAATTGCAATACATGGCAACTGTTTATCTGAGTTAAGAGGAGCTTTATCTGCTAGAAATAATCTTCCGTAGTATACTTCCCTCCCTGCCTATTTTAGAGCTCGAGCATATTAAGCTAACTCCCTCTCTTCCATATGCACAAATATCTGCAAACAAAAATTTACAATGCGCATTTACCAATGCGAGCATAAAAAATAGTACCACATGACCCTTGTTTCAACCTCTACAATTTTTAGAAATTGTAAAATCTGAAAGAATTTTTATACTTTAATAAATATCAGATAGTTTAGATTTCATTCGCGTTATACAGTTCTTGTTTAGTACGTGTTTTAAAAATATTGTGTTTTACAATGGAACCACATCATTTAACCTTGGACGAAATGAATACAGCTTTAGTGTACGTTCACACAGACCACTAGGGCGCGACCAGCGATGCGATGCTTTACGTTACATAGCATTACCTGTGGGTGTTTCAATACGTAATATGTTTGTGAGCTAATCGTCACCGGTTTTTCTGTGTCGAACGTGACGATGGAAAGATAACTGAAATATATATTGGCGAAAAATTCATTCATTTTTGCTAAACTAATTACGCATCCTGATAAATTTCAAGAATATTTTCGGATGTCTATACGTACACATTTTTATAGTTTTAAATCAGATAGGGTGGAATCTGACGTAATTCTAACGTAATCAAACGAAATTCCTGCAATTTTTAAAGGTGGGAAGAAACTCATTAAAAAATGATAATCTTCATCCTTTTTGAGTTCGTTACAGAGTCTAGTAACTATATATTTTTTTCTTCCAAATATATGAATCCCTCGATATCCAAATCATCTTGTTTACGTTTACGCCCTTGGTTAGTATTTTTAGGGCGCCTACTAGAGGATGACGTACTAGGTTGGAGTTCTCCGTTATATAATGAAGTATTGTCGTTGGAAGTTCCCGTATTAATTTCAGCCTGTGATATATTTTCATCTGCAGTATACTCTTCAGTAAGTGAATCGCTGTGAATATTCTCAGACATCATATCACTTTCTTCAGTTAATGGTAGATTGTCAGTCATGTTGCGATATGCCATTAAATCTTTTAAGAAAATTAAACTTTTAAAATGTGCCCAACTGTGTATACATTATATTATATATGTAGGTATTTTTGGGGAATTATTTATTAATAGCATTAGCATCATTTAACTTTTATTGTTTTGATTATTTGGGTATTTTGATACTACAAAAATAATTATTATTTATTAATAACATTCGTTAACATTTTCATATATTATTCAGAGTTCTGTTTAAATACAGTTTTGATAACCCAAACTAAACTAATCTTTTTGGCGAAGTCTTTATTTTCGGTCAGAATGGTTTTCCAATTACAAACACCGCAAATAAGCAAAGAAATATGTAGCAACGTAATTATTAATAAACAGTAATTAATATTTACTTGTCAATCTTTATTATATTATATATCTTATTTACTTGTAACTCCTCTGCAACCTCAACCCATAATGTATTCACCTTGTCCCTATTCTGATAGTTTTTTTAAATGTTGATCCCATAGGGCCGGACGAATTCTAACATTGTTTAATTAATTTTTACACATCCATATCGCTTGCTAGACATGCGACTACTGGCGATGGCATCAAAAATTCTTGAAAACCAAACCGAAGCGCATACTAGCCGCTACTAGCGTAGCATCGCTTCGCATCGCACTTAATCGAGCGCTATTTAAACAAGGCACTTAAGATACAATGGCGCCATAGAAGTCTGTGTGAACGTACACTTAAGCCTCCTTCAAGCTGGCATTCGACAAAATCACGTAGCTGGACTTATGGGAGTTCCCAAAGTGTTATAGTTGATTATAGCGGTGTTTTAAAGATACCGAGAGTCCAATTGAGCAACATCCAGGACGGCCCAACATTGATGTTTAGTTTTAATCACTAGAAGATACCATACAATTACATAATTTGAATTGGTTACCGACTTTCAGCGGGCACATCAAGTAAATATAGGTTGAGATCTTGCGCTCTGAAAGTTCTGCAGTACTTCGATACCACTATCGAAGTATTGTTCTTCTATTTGCAGATGTTATTCGCGAAAACTATTAGCTTATGTAAAATTATGCTCGTCCGTATTTCGCACTTACTTTGTTAAACTGGTTGACTAACGAGTGTATTGCATGCCCATTACAATTCCAATATCTCAATCCTATTAAATATGCGGGGGACATGCTTCAACCACGAATTACTCCACATATAACATTCACAACGTATTTATTAGCTTCTGAAAGTTTCGTATATATAAATAATATATATATATATATATATATATATATATATATATATATATATATATATATATATATATAGTCGATCGGTAAAATCGGTCATATCTTAATAGTAAAAATTTGTTTAAGGCATTAAATACGTACGCCTGTTCCGCGCTGAGCTACTCATTTGGTATTATAAAGTGGTCAAAAACGGATATAGAGGGTCTTCAGCGGAAAGTAAGAACACTTCTCACAAAGGCGTAAAAACATCATCCACGTAGTGCAGTAGAGAGAACAACATTACCGCGGTATCAAGGGGGAAGAGGACTTATGGATATAGGTGAGCAATTAGATAAACAAATTGCTAATTTAAGATCTTATTTTCAGGTACAGGCTGAGACATCTACTTTACATGGAGCAATTTGCGCAGTAGATGATACGACGACGCTTAAACTGAGGGAACAAGAAATGCGCATAAACCACCTGACTCAGCAAGAAAAAATGCGCACCTGGATAAGTAAACCTCTGCATGGGCGACATCTCAATGAGATCAACCAAGAATATGTCGACAATACAGCGTCGAACTATTGGTTGACATCAGGAAAGATGTTTCCCGAGACTGAGGGTTTCCTACTTGCCATTCAGGATCAGGTTATTCCAACTAAAAATTACCTCAAATATAATGTTAAAGATCCTCAAGTCCAAAATGACAAATGCCGATATGGATGCCAAGCCCAAGAAACCATCCAACATCTTACCGGTGGCTGCCAGGCATTTGTCGGTACTGATTATAAAGAACGCCATGACTCAGCAGGAAAGATTATCCACCAAGAACTAGCTGACAAACTGGGACTTCTCCAAACCGACCATCTTCCTTATTATCAATACGCCCCTGATAGAATGCTTGAAAATGACAACTAAAAGCTATACTGGGACCGCACTGTGCTTACAGACCAACCAGTGGCCCATAATAGACCGGATCTCATACTAGTTAATAAACTTACTAGACAAACAACACTTATTGATGTGGCGATACACAACACCAATAATTTAGGTGTTAAATACAACGAAAAGATCGCCAAGTACAGAGATCTAGAAATACAAATCAGGAAACAATGGAGAATGGAAAGTACCCAGACACTACCTATTGTTCTATGTACTACTGGTGTTATTCCCAAAAACCTCCTAGCGAACATAAAACAGCTGGGGCTAAATGAACATCTTTATAAGGCCGTGCAGAAAGCTGTACTCCTCGCGACGTCCAGATGTGTACGAAAATTTTTGGGAGATACTCCAACATACCAAGTCACCTAGGGCTCGATAACACGGAAAGAGTCCCACCAGAGCTCAATCCTTTCGATACCGTAGGTATCTGGGATGAGTGAATTTTCCCCTTAGAGGGAGTGTGAGCCGTATGGTTAAATCTGGGAATTTATTATTTTTTTATTTATAAAATTTTTTTTTTTTACTTTAAACAAATTGTATTGTATATTAAAAACGTTAAATAAAATTTATTATTAATTATCTAAATTAGTTTCAAAACAAGTGTCATCCTTTCTAAATAAAGCTGATCACTAATATCTTTTCATGCAAAACTAGTGGATGTTAAAAATAGACAAGATATATATCTTCACGTTACCTCATCTTACGAGGTCACTAGACCTCATACTCATGTTGCTACACTCAATTTTATTTGTTGTCAATTTCACTCTCTTTACGCATGTTAACTACCATTTCGGTGTATGCTTGTCAATAAAATGCATTCCTATTCTTGAATCTGAATTATACTAGACAATTGACGAAAAAAAAAGCAACTGAAACTAATATTTACTTACGTTGTTCCGTTTGTGGAGCTGAAGGTGCCGAAGGATACCCAGCTGCTTCTTGTGCTTTTCCAGAGTATTCTAAAATATAATTATATTAGATTTAATATTTTTGACTCCTAAGTCTTGTAAAACTCCTAAGTTCTTTAGAAAAAGAACTATTGAGAACAGTCAAAAGAAGAAAAACCAGTTATTTAGGGCATTTGTTGCGCAACGAGAAATACTACATCCCTCAGTTGATAATGCAGTTGAAAGCGAGGAATTGGAAGAAAAAAATTGTCCTGGTTACGTAATATCAGAAACTGGACAGGACTTGGATTTGAGGAACTCTTAATAGCAGCTGAAGATAGACAAACGTTAGAGACACAGAAAAACGACATATTTGGTATTTATATCCAATTAAAACAGTATTAAATATATTATTGTTCTGAAGCTATTTTCTTGTGGCATTGTAAATTAATTACTATTTATAACTGGGAATAAGCCACATTAAAGATAAAAATACATTTATTGACGTTTCAATTTCCAATTCGGAAATCGTTCTCAAAATACAAATAGTAAATTAAACAAATTTTGTTTTTTGTTACATATTGAAAAAATTCTTCTGATAATTTAATTTTATCTGACTCATTTATATTGACAATTCAGACATACAATATGCATTTTAAAGTAGACGACTTTAAAATGATATTGCCAATATTGTTGAGTTGCGCTCCTGGGACGACTTTACTTATAAGATAGTTCATTCGATTACATGAAATCAACTTTAACTTGAGAATATCCGTCAGAAAAAATCATAGCATGTAATTCGTCTTTAAAAAGACAAACACATGACATGATGACAGTAAAATTCTCCTGTTAGTGATTCCATAGTATATATGATTCCATAGACACAACACATTGTGTCGCAAATTCCTCGGCAGAATGTAGTAGGATCTGGTTACCAATATTGAAAGAGGAAGTTATTAATAAGAAAATACCAGTATTAGTAAGTCAGTAACATATAGAGGATACATCATTTATGTTTTTTTAAATAACGTAACATAAAATCAGAATTTTGATGTTTGTTGAAGGTAAACTAAATTCACGAACAAATACTTACAATGTCGGGATAGTATTATGAGGTTTTTTTCCTGGTTTTTCCCTCATAATTTACTATGGAATCACTAACAGGAGAATTTTACTGTCATCATGTCATGTGTTTGTCTTTTTAAAGACGAATTACATGCTATGATTTTTTCTGACGGATATTCTCAAGTTAAAGTTGATTTCATGTAATCGAATGAACTATCTTATAAGTAAAGTCGTCCCAGGAGCGCAACTCAACAATATTGGCAATATCATTTTAAAGTCGTCTACTTTAAAATGCATATTGTATGTCTGAATTGTCAATATAAATGAGTCAGATAAAATTAAATTATCAGAAGAATTTTTTCACTATGTAACAAAAAACAAAATTTGTTTAATTTACTATTTGTATTTTGAGAACGATTTCCGAATTGGAAATTGAAACGTCAATAAATGTATTTTTATCTTTAATGTGGCTTATTCCCAGTTATAAATAGTAATTATTAAATATATATTATCGCAAAATATCATTTTTGAACTAATAATTACGACATTTTAGGATTATGGTATCCCATGGATCTAAAACATAGATAATTGTTGGATTGTTTAGTCTACAATAGTAAAAGTTTCCTGGAATGGTGCAGATTCAAGGTTTGAAACATTCGAATACTGTATACTGGTATTTAAATTCAAGCAATTTTAACATGTCGAATGTCCCTTTCTGGATGAATCTACATTTGTTTCACGATCTTCAGATATAAGCACACAATTGGATCGACCATACATAATTTAAATTTATGTTGTTTTTCGAAAAAAAAACCTTTATTTTTTTTAACTTACTATCGGTTAACTTTATTATAATGCGTGTAGGATTATAAAAATATTCTCACCTATTGTAGGAGCGGCCCCATATGCACCTGACGGATAACCCTGAGGTGGATAAGCCCCAGAAGATTGTGGGAATGGTTGTGTTGGGGCTGGAGTATAAGCGCCAGGAGGAAATTGACCTGCAGGAGGATACTGTGGACCACCGTTCCAACCGGCACCGTTCGTTGGTGGAGGCTGATTAATGGGATAAGAAGGACCGATTGGATATGGAGTAGGATTAGGGCTACCAAAGCCTCCGATTGGTGCTTGCTGGTTTATGTCGATATTTCCTACTTCTATAGAACTTTCGATGACTAGGTTACTGTGAACGTTCGGAAGTTTGGCAATTATCTAAAAAGTAATTTTTCTTATATACCAAGAATTCACAAACACAACTAATTTAACAAACACTACTACAGTTTTATATATTTTTTAGATTAAAGAATAGTTTTATGATTTTTACAATATTTCAAAACGGTTTTATAGCTCACTTCCCTAAAACATAATTTTGTGGTAATTGGAAATTATTAATGAAAGAACTAAAGTCAAATGAATCTTTAATGTAAATATTGTTGTTTGAATTATAAGCATTAATTAAGATGTCAGTGTGTTATTGGTTCATTAGGAGGGCATACAGATGAAACTATTGGTCTCATAGATAAAGTTGGTTTATGTAATTTAGGTAGGGCATAAAACCGTGGGGCAATATAATTATATATATTTTGAGCTCTCTTGCTTTTTTATTATCAATAATTTTTTTTTGTAATTTAGATACTAGACAATTTGCTTTTTATTGCAAAGTACAAACAGGACTCCTTCCAAGTGTAGTGTGATACTTAGTATCATTTTAGAGTTCTCCAGTTTTTTGTACGTAATTATCTTTATAAATTGCAACAGTTACGTTACCTTTATCGCTTTTGACAATGTAAATTACAGGATGGTTTTTAAGGAAAAGTTTAGTTTGTACATAGTCTTTATTTAAAAAATGATCTTTTGAACAAAAATTAAGTTTTTGGCAATATAATTGTCAAAAATGAATGTAAGTCCTTGTAAGTTGGTATTTATGACATTGAGGCTTATTTGTAATTGGTCGCTATGCTATTCTAACTTATTTATAAATGCAATTGTTTTTGCGTTAAAAAAGTTTTTCAAAATTATATTACAAAATTTAAGAGAAACATTTATTAGATAATCTAATTTATAAAATAGTGTTTTGAAATATGTTTAGCAGTAAAAATTCATTAACTGAACTAATTTTATTTAGTTAGTTATTTTTTTTTTAAGTTTCATTTTGTAAGATATTTTTTATTGTATTTTTTACTGTATTTTTTAGCAGCTCTTGAAAATAATTGTAAATACAATTGAAAGCTCGAGATAAAAAATAGTTACCTAATAGCCCCTTTTATTGGCTCCAACCCATCCAAAACATATTTATATATTTTTTCCAAACGAGTCACAAGTACTTCTTTTGTATATATATATATATATATATATATATATATATATATATATATATATATATATATATATATATATATATATATATATATATATATATATATATATATATATATATATATATATATATAAACTATTATGGACTAAACTATTATATATAAACTAACTATTTTATTTCTTGGATTTGTCGGTCTGTTGTAAATAAAAATACTTAACTATTGCTTAAACGTTTCGGCTATTTGCCATTTTCAATAAGCACTTTCTTTTATAACCATTTCATTATACAAATATATTTTATAGAACACAAAGACGGTATTAGATTTAAATTCAATGCAGCCGCCAGCTGTTTATACGTATTTCAACCGCATTAGGTATTATCAGAGCGACATACGCAGATGCTCTGAATCGAAATTAAATCTCTCCCGTCATAATACAATAATAATAAAAATAATTTTTTTACTTTACAGACGTTACAGCGCCATCTAATAACAACACTCTCTTTCGTCAACAACGTCTTTCTGTTTTAGTTCTTTATCCGGTTTTGAGTACGAGGAACTAAATTTACTAAGAATTTTTACCGTGATGAACGGCATAATTTTTGATTCCCTTTTTAGTTTTTAAACTTCCCAAATTAACAAATATAGTTTCGAAAAGTAGGAAATCTAAGGATTTCTACTGTTGTAATTATATTTCATGATTACACTCCTTAAAAGTTTAACATGGATTAAAAAATTGTTATTAATTTAAATATGATACAATTTATTAAATTATGATACATATTGGAAAGGTCTTTGATGTGATGCCAGTCTTATTACCTATTGTTAGAATTTGAATCTTTTTTTTATCTGAATTATCACCAATATGCATCTTTTGTTGTAATTTTGATCTTTTTCCAAAATCCGTACATTTTCAAAATTAAAAGAATGGCTATTTCCTAGAGAATGTTTGGCTAGGGCTGTTATGTTTAGTCCGTTGGTCTGTACACTATATTTGTCTGCAACAACCCTTCTATGCAGGTATTGGTGTGTTTGTTCAATATATGTTGAATTACAGTTTTTACAATTTATTAAATAAAATTTGATTGATGATCTTTATTAATTTTGGGTTTAAATTTTGAAAAATATTTTTCAGATGTTTTTGATGAAGGATAATAATCGCCATGCTTTTACAATGACAGTATCTAATTTAAAGAAATCTATTGCCATTACGATCTGTAGAGATGAGGACAAGAGAGCACCATTGATTAACAATTGTTAATTGATTAACTCAATTAACAAATTGAGTCAAAATAGGTTTCGCAATATAAAAAACATATACATGTATCTGATAATGGTCAACTTGACAAACAAGATAAGCTTGCTAAATTGCGCCCATTATTTGGTAAAATAAACGAGGAAATGGTTCCTTGTTTTGGTAGACACCTTGTAAAAATGTTCATCAAAGGGAAGCAGGTCCGCTTCGGTTTTAAAATGTGGTATTTGTTCTCAAGATATATAATTGTTTCAGTTTAGTCCATACGCTGGAGCACGGGCACATAGAAGTGATATGGGACTGGGAGTAGATGTTATTATAGATCTATTAAGAGTTCTTGAATTTCCTTCGCAACACAGAAAATTTTTTGACAATTTATTGTTCGTCTTTTAAACTATTTCAATATCTAATTGCGGGAAAATAAAATCCAAAAGTGTCCTTTAGATAGTTGATTTAAAAAAGGGGGTAGATTTGCCTTCGATTTTTTGATATGATTTAAAATCTACTCGTCAAACAGAATGAAAATTCAATCGTTATTATGACGTCAAACAATATTAAGTGTAGACCAGCCGTTTCTAATAAAAAAATGCAACAAGAATATGAGGGGTGTTGATCTACACAATAACGCTATACTCAATTATCATATAAGAGTAAGAGGAACGAAATGGTGGTGGTTTCTTTTTATAAATACTACAGTACAATCAATCGTCAATGTATGGACAATTTATAAATTGGCAAATATCTCAATTACAGTTTCGCTCTTATATCGTTATGGCTCTAATAAGATCAGAAGAAGGTAATTAGGGTACATTTAATATTAGAATACAATAAGATGAGGGTACATCAGCTCCTGAATACAAAGGATGAGGAAGGCCATCAAATTCAGAATTACCGAAAGAAATGAGAACTGACAACGTGAACCACATCGTAATAGGGCACCCTGGAAAGTCAAGAAAAAGATTCAATGTAACAGCCAAACCATATACAGTGCGTTAAGTTTTTGATTAGGTATTGCACACTATACGGAGCGCTAAAATCGGCAACGTTGCAAATGTTCGTTCTCCGACCCGAAAATCTACACCGACAGAAAATCATTTATTTTAGTTTAGTAACTCACAACAACGTTAGGGATGTACTTCTCTGTCGTCCGATCTCATGATTCATTACGTAAAGCCGATTTTAATAGTAGGAAATCCGATAAAACTGAATCTAATCGGTGCATTGTTATCGATTTTTATTAATGTGAAATTTTTTTTGTGGTTGAATTAAAAATAAAAGCGTATTTCTTTAAAAAGATAAAATAAAAAATATACTATTAGTGAAAATTAAAATATTATTCCTAATAAAATAAAAAATAATTCTTTATGAACTACAGAAATAGTTCAAATAGTTGACCTTCTACGGCTGAACAGTACCCCAATCTGTCATAAAAACTTCTGCGAACAGATGAAAGAGTTTCTGCTGTAACAGAATTGGAGACTTCTCTTATTCGATTTTTTAATTCATCCAAATTTTGGGCTCTAGCCTCAGGATGAGCGTAGATAATGCTTTTTAAATGTCCCCAAAAAAAAGAAGTCCATGGGTGTAAGATCTGGAGATCGCGCAGGCCACTTAATATCGCCTGTTCCACTGATAACTCGATTCGGGAAAGTATTGTTTAAATACTCCCTAATAATTCGAGTGTTGTGAACTGAACAGCCGTCTTGATGAAACCAAACATTCTCCAGATTTACATCAGGAAGATTGAGAATAGCGGGAAGAACATGATTCTGTAACAAATCGAGGTATACTCTACTATTCAAGTTGCCCTCAATAAAAAATGGACCTATTATGTGGTCTCCTAAAATGCCAGTCCAGACGTTAACTTTTTGAGGACGTTGAGTTCGGTAAACAACACTTCTGTGCTGGTTTTCCCGCGCCCAATACCTCGTAATGGAAGGATTGTGTCTCCCTACTAACGAAACAGAAGATTCATCAGTGAATAAAATGTTTTTAATAAAATTTGGTTCACTATTAGCCTTCGTTATTAGAGATTCACAAAACTCCATTCTTCGAAAGTAATCGTCTGGATAAAGCTGCTGCGTTTTCGAATATTTAAAATTATTGTAACCGTGCTTTTTCCATACTTTCGTTACAGTAACATTGCTAACATCTAACTCTCTAGCAACGCTTCTACTTGAACGTGTTGAATCTACCTCGATTGTTGCACAAATTTGTGTATCCCGGTATTCTCTTTCCTCAACTTTCTCTGGTAACACTTCTCGAGCGTGACATTTTCTGCAATTTTTGAGGCAATAACAACTCTCAAAATTTTTAACAATATCATAAATTGACTGTACACAAGGAATTGGTCTTCCCTCAAAAAACACAGAAAATAAATCTACACACTGTTGCGCAGAATTGCCACTATAAAACCATTTTATTATTTGAGCTTTTTCCGCGGCCATATAAACAGACATGTTTACAAAAATAAATTAAAACTCTACGCTGTTTTACCTTTAAACAACCACGGTATAATGACAATATGTCAAATTTGCCGACCGGCGACGTGCAACGACGAGTCAACGAAGCAGATATGTAGTGCAAGTCGAAGACGTGCAGTGTTGCCATTTATAGAGTGTATACCTAATCCAAAATTTAACGCACTGTATATGTGTTAAAGGTGCAAAGGACATTTACACTCTGCATGTTTTGACAGATTCCATAAATTGTAATATTAAGTTTTATAGTTTTTTTTACAAATATTTTATTTAGTTTTACTACTTCTGTACTTTTAATTTTCAAATAAATCTCATAATCCATAAAAGTGTATTTCATTAATTTCTTAACATAGTCCGCCATTGATACGAAAAAGCTAAATGAACACCCTGTAACCTAAAAAAAAAGTATCTAAATTTGTATTTAAAGCACCATAAATAACTAACACACACTAAACACCATAAATAACTAACCTAATATTATTTTTACCAAAATTTACATATGTTGTACCTTGGCGGTTAATAGGTTTATATTTATGACGGGAGCGCCAATTAAGTAAAATAAGATATTACACATATCATATCACATATTACCAGAAATAAAATTTTTGTTAATTCTTATTAGGACTGTAAGAAGCTTTATTATTTATCTTTATATATTTATATTATATTTAAAAGGCAAATTATTGCCACGTTTTTATGTTAACGTATGTCGACCTACCTTGTATGTATAGTTTACTTTAAACAATTTACACTGCGTAAAGTTTGGAACTGAAAAACTACTCGGTAACTGCACTGGTAATGTAAACGTATGTTCTCCATGGGCTCCTACTCCAACTTCGTTTATGTCTGCCGCTAAGTTCTCAACTGTTTTCACTTCGGCAGATGCCGTCTGCCTACAGGTAATTAACTGAAAGAAAAATATAACACAGTTAAGGTATTGCTACATATATACTATAAAATACAAATTATTCCTTAGCTGTAGTACAGCCAGAACTCGGCAATAATTAGTTTAGATATTTTTGCATATACTGTTATATGACTTAGATCGATAACCAAGAATTTTTTATTTATTTAATGTCGTCCGAACCACTACTGTTATACGACAACAATGGAAAAATACATATTAAGGTTAAAAAAGTTACAATATTACCTACATGCTAACAAAAAAGAGGACTGACATAATTTGAGATACAAACTAGATTTTAATTTAAATATTTTTATGCCGATAGCCGTTAAAAACTTTATAACGTTGCTTATTATTGTCTCTGTTTTTTCTTATTTTCTGGAATATTTGACATTCGTTTTGGAATGGTTAACTGTAATGTTGGTTTGACAAGTACTTGGCAATGGTTCTAAAGAGTAGATGTATGCACTGACAATGGAACGTAGATGAATATCGGGATTCAGATGAATTTTGGGTAGGCCATATATTCGAAGTGTTCTGGAAGACTTTTCACGAGGAAATAGAGATTGTTTTATGTCAAATGGAAGAGAGGTTTTAGAGATAATGGCTTTTGTTGTTTTCTCCAGATACGTTGTTGAACTATTATGAATTGGTTTGTAGTCTTTAATATTAATAAGATTTGAGAGTTTATTAATGTTTAGGATGACGGTAGCACTGCCTTTATCGGCGGAAAGAATGACTAGATTTGTATTTGACTGAACTTCAGTTCAGGGTAGAAATTTAACTAAGAGGATTGGCACACTATAAAATATATCGAGAAATCAGTGGCAATGGTTATAACGAGTCTGATGGAAACAGTTTCCATTAAAAATAACTTACAGCAAGAAAACAATTTTCCGAATCGCTTCGAGTTTCGAGTAAAAATTTTTTAAGCTTATCTCATCAAAGTAAATATTTTTTCTTTTGGTAATTTTTTGAAAAATGCTTCCTTTTCGAGCTTTTTGAAATTTTTTGTTGAAAAAACGCCTTAATTAGTGATTTTTGGGATTTTTTTTTTCAAAAAAATACTAAATGAAGTACAATTCAACAAAAAGCTTTATAATATTTAGATCTTCACGTACACGTAAGAATATTTTGACAAGAATAAGCTGTTTCTATTGCCGTAACCGTATACTTATACGCTTATTATCGTATACAGCGATATATTGTTTGAAATGCACATTCGAAATATTTGTTTCCATGTTTTTAGCAAAGATAGAATCCATTTATCATTGTCAAAATATTTTTACTTGTAGTTGAAGGTTTAAAGATTATAATTTTTTTTATAAAATTCCAAAAAGACTTATTAAGGCATTTTCAAAAACAAAAAAGTAAATAACTCGAAAACGAAGCATTTTTCGAAATTAGCAAGTATTTATTTCGATGAGATAAGTTTAAAAAAATTTGCTCGAAGCGATTCGGGAAATTGTTTTTTTGTTAAGTTATTTATTAATAACAATTTTTGGGCCCACTTGGAAAAATATTAAAAAAAAAAAATAAATACGTTTGAACTTTGAAATATATAAATTCGAGTAAAATAGGTTTGGTGCCGTAGCAATGCAAAAAAATTCGCTTTATGCTCTTTTTATAAGAGTAAACCGCTCGCCTATTGTGATTGACTTTTTCTCCGAAATATTCAGGTTAACATATTCGAGTATTACAATTTGTTAAGATTTTTATTTTGTTTAGAACGGTTATTCGAGTCATTGGTCAAATAACGGTCTGTTTCGTTGGTTTTCGTTATACCTGCGCCGAAGTTTTCCGTTTGCTGTTCGTTCTATTAAAAAATCTAAAAATACAATTTGGTGGTTCTTCTCTATTTCATTAGTATGATTTTAAAATGCCCCATACCGCTGAAAATATGTTGTAGCAAAATACCCTCATTACTTTCAAACTTTCGGTCCTCACTTGCGACGAAGACCGATCAGCTAAATGCGTTCGTTTGATTGAAATTTGATTGAAATATTAAAATACTAAATATTGAGTTAAGAATTGCGTGCAAGGCAGGAACTTGGGAGTATTAGAATTGGAAAATACTCTTTCAGATCCCAGCGATTGCTTTCGCTTGTGCTGTTAATAGTTAGTAGGTGGTTAAAATCATAATACAGTGAAACTTGGATAATTCGAACCTCACGGGACCGTTAAAAAAATTCGAATTATCCAAATATTCGAATTATCCAAAAATTCGAATTAAAAATATATCCAGAAAAAAACAAAGATGCCTACAAAAACATATGCAAACGATAAAAATCAACAATAGTTGACCAATTTTATCGCTTGCAGATGTTTTCGTTACTATTTTTGACCGAATTTTCTGAACCGAAAAAAATGGGCCAGAATACCAATTAAAGCATTTGCAAGCTATAACAAATGGTCACTTATTGTCGATTTTTATCATTTGCAGGTTTTATCATTGGTATTTTTGGCCAAATCTTAGCCGAAACAATCGGCAGATAAAAAATTCCCAGTGAGAACGCGTCATTAAAACAATAAACCATTTTGTCTAAAAAAATTTATTGAAAATAAGAATACATATTTGTTACAATTAATGAAAATAGACTAATTTTTTCTAAAGAAATCCAAAATTTTTAGCTGCTTTTTAGAATTTAACGTCTCAGTAATGACAAACGATCCTAAGATGTTCAGTGAACTAAAAATAGAGTGACTTACATCATTTTTATTTTCAAAGTACCGTTTAAGTTGCGTAATATGGTGTGTTGCTTCGGCCGCACTCGGAACATGTATTTCTCCCGCAACTGATGATGCGTCGTCTTCATCACTCTCTTGTTTTTTATCATTGTACTTAAGCACTTCAGCGATGATCTCTGTATCAGTTATTTCACCACATACTGCAACATCTTCATCCACGTTGACAAAATATTCATAAGAGATGGCAGGATCAGAAATGATGTCCCCCCAGCAGTCAATTGAAAGAAGCTCTTCTGTTAAATTGTCGTCTGTGCTCTCCTCCTTTTTTATGAAACCAGCTCTTTTGAAACATTGTTTGATCGCTTTGGGTGTTACTTGGTCCCAAGCTTTCTTACACATTCGAGATGCTTGTAGAATGTCTAACTTTATTTTAAGGGTGTCGCAATCTTCCATCATTATGTTTTCAACCAAAAAACGTCTGTAAAAATGATTAAAATTTATTATGACACCCTGGTCCATAGGCTGGAGAACTGAAGTCATGTCAGCAGGAAAAAAACTAACTTTTACATTTTCCACCAGTGAGATAGTGGTGTGTGCCATACAATTGTTAATTAACAAAATAACTTTTCTTTTTTCTCTTATGAACTTTTTGTCTAATTTTTTCAGCCAGTTCTCGAAAAGATCACTAGTCATCCAAGCTCTTGCGCTACTCACATATTCCACTGGTTTTGATTTGACGTTCTTAAAACAACGCGGATTAGCCGACTTGCCAATCATCAGTAGAGGTAGTCTTTCTGATCCGTCCATGTTTGCACCAATTAGGAGAGTTACTCTTTCTTTACTTAGTTTTCCTCCGTGACATTTTTCATTTTTAAATGCTAGCGTTTTGTCAGGAGTGCATTTAAAAAAGACACCCGTCTCGTCAACATTAAAGATATCTCTTTCATCTATACCCTGAATCATCTCTTCCAAATTGTTCCTCACTGGTTGGCTTCTTGCTGATTAACGGTCCCACTTTCTCCACAAATAGATTTGAAAGAAATTTTGTTGCGTTCTTTAAAGCCGTCGAGCCACCCTGTACTCGCCTTAAAATTGTTTTTCCCCATTTCAATAGCAAATTGTTCAGCTTTGCTTCTTATAAGGGGACCACTTACGGGAATCTTCTTATCCCTGGCTTGTTTGAACCATTTTAACACACAACTGTATAAATTTGGATTTTCTGGCTCCCTTAACCTTTTTCGATCTTTACCGCACTCACTTTCACTGTTGAGAATTTTTTCTTTATTCTTCAAGTAGGTGGATAATGTGTAAGGAGGAATTTTAAAGTCCCTGGCAATCTCAGTTTTTTTCTTCGTCCTCTTTTCTACTTCTCTAATCACCGCTATTTTTTCCGATAACGTTAAAGTTTTGTATGTTTTCGTATTACCATGCGACGACATCTTTACTCAATACGAAGTGACTTGACGTGATTTGCGGTGATTGCAATTGCAACGTCAACGCATCTTAACTGAAGGGGCGTGCCAGATGGGCTAGAATTTAGGTGACAGGTACGGGTACAATGGCCTTGAAACAAGTGGCACGTTAGAACAGAAAAGAATACTACCTCTTTTAGCGGAAATTTCCAGCATGAAATTGACATTTTTAACTTGTAAAAAAGTTCGAATTATCCAAAAAATAATTCGAATTATCCACGACTTTTTAACATTACTTATATAGGAAATGCTAGGGACCAGAATAAAAATTCGAGTTAAAGAAGATTTCGAATTAACGAAGTTCGAATTAAGCAGGTTCTACTTCTATCTATTTGCACGCCTTTTAAACAAAGCTAGAGCGAGACCAAATGTTTAAAAGCATAATAAATTCTAGCATCTCGAATAATTTCTTAAGAATCTGTACGAACTTAAATGCTAAAAAATATATATTTAGACGATAAAAACAAACGTAATATTTTTAATAATTTAGGCGAAGGTGAATACACATATGAAATACCATAAGCAATGCTCTCGGTTTTCAGTCGATTCAGCTCAATCAATCGAATACTCGTGATTTCTTTTAAACGGCAACGAAAAGTATTGAAACGAACAAACAATTGAAATGATTCGATTGTATTCGGAGTCGGTTACTGATTGATTCGGTCCTCGTAAAATGAACGATTCACACAACACTACTGGTCAAGTTAATCAACAGATTTGCGTTTCACTTTTTTGTAAATGTTGTTTCCAGTAGTTAATTAATTTTATTATTACTGTCCTCAGTTTAAGTACTATAGTAGCATTTTTATTATCCGGATTTCGCCTGCCATATTCACGAATTCCACATTCAATATTTACAATTATAACTTTAAATGGTCTAAATGAAACCTGTAGACGTCAAATGATTCTTCCAATCTGGTCAACACTTTAAAGAGCAAATACTCCTTCCTGTGGTTTTATATTGTCAGTAATGCTGTAGTAAGGATTTTTGACAAAAAACTATGAGATACCGGTCACTGTTCATAAGATATTCTCTTTTTAAAATTGCACCTGCAAACAGAAGATTATGAAAATACTGAAAAGAATTAAATGTTTTAAGCAATGTCTCATTTCGTGGTTTGGTTAGTAAATTGACGGCATTAAATGAGTTCATCCTAATGAACTTCAGGAAAACTGAACAATAGTGGCCAACTTGACACATCTGGAAAGATGTTTCTCGAAGCAGATTTTTCTAGTCGCCATTCAGAAAAAACCAAAAATTACCTGAAATATCTCTTCAATAAGCATAGGTGCAAACCGATAAATGCTGATATGCATGCCAACCCTAAGAAACCAAAACTGGAACTATTGTATTAACTACCAATTTAACTCTTATGTTTTCATTGCAAAAATGCTGGCAGTATGTTTGTGATTGGACAATACAGTAACTACCAATCATATACACACGATTAAAGATATAAATTACTCGGGTTTTACCTTCATATTTTGGTTTATAATGTTACTCAAAAATTGCATATAAAATAGTTATCGAAAACCAAAAATACTAACATACACAACACCTTTTAAACAACGTAATTACCTGTTTTAGTTTCAATTCCAGGCCTTCTACATTAGTATTGGACATATTAGAAATTCTAACTGCAATATTTATAACTTCTCCCAGTACTAGTGTCCTTTTTGGAATAGAAACATCCATGCTGATTGGACCCTCTGCACAACAAAAGCAGCATATTGTTTTTTCATCTGAGAAGTTTGTGGGTTGCTAAAAACATTTCAATTTTTATTTAGAATTTTGTTCTTTAATTTGTGTATTTTTCTGAGATAAAGTCTCAGAAAATAACTATTTAGATAAACTTTCACTCACTTAGGATAACATTGGTTGCAAATCTAAATATACAAATGGACGTTGTCTAACCTTATGGAAGGTGTATAATGTACAAAGCGAAACACAGTTAAATCAGAAGTAGGAGGTAAATTATGATAAATCTGAGACACACTAATGATCTATGCTATTTTGTAAATATGACAGTAATAATTTTAAAACAAAAAAAACGTCGAGGAGTCTTGATCTGGATAATAGGAATCGGAAACAATAGAGATTTGCGAAAAAATCAGAATATAAAGTTGTTTACCGATCATTTTTTAGTGTATCATGATTCAAACTGCAATATCCCTATGTTCAGCTTTAACACCCACAAAACGTTACGTTTCAGGGGCTATCATACCACGTATCTAGAAGCAAAATGTGATCTTTTATAGGCAGTGTAAGTAGGTGGAACCACAAACTATAACAAGAAATAAAAGTAGACATTAACTATACTTATGCAGTATCCACCGTTGTTATATAGTTATAAAACGTCTGACGTACGAATTGTATTTACAAAAATTTGGTTAAATGTTGTATAAATTTTTGTGTAGTTAGCAAATTTTGGCTAGAATATACAAAGATTCAATATATCTCTAGTAAAAGTATTAAATAATATAAAACTCTACCAGGAGCTAAATACTCATACTGCTAAATAATAATAGAATGAAATGCATCAGCTTATCGATGTTTTCACATTTCTTTTAAATTCTTGTCGTTGTGCCTGGTATAATTGAACTTGCATTTCTAATGTGTGCAGTCGATTATATTGACAATATTTGGTTAGTACACGTGGGATAAACAATAAACCAGGATAAAAGACAGCGATGTTACGACCAATTGTAAAAGCCGTTTCTTTTTATCGGTGGGGGCATAGTAAATACGTGAATATCTTCGAATATTTGCTAAAGCCAGTATAAACATAAAAAATAAGTCTATATAACTTTGTCATTGTTTTAAACTTGGCGAGTTTTAGTATACATCCGATTATTCATTAAAGCTAATAATTTTAAGTATAAAATTATATACAACCGCTAGACGATCATTTAAAGCAGTAGAATAATTTCTTTAAGAAACTATAGCGAATATGGTAGCCAATATGATATCCAACGATCGATAACGGTCGTGGAACTAGAAGAGAAGAAACGATTATAAAAGAAATATATCAATATATCGAAAAATTAAACAAAATATAGTATATTCATGACGCCTGGTAGGATACTCATGGTCTCATAATACAGTAAAAAAACTTAGATAAATAAAAATTTCTTTAATAAAATACAGCCGATTATTTACAATCGGGTGGAGAAAATGGATAGATAGACGATGCATTATTTTTATACCTGATAACAAAATTAAGATGCGTCTGTAAACTAAATTCCGGATACGGAAGGCACAATTTTTCAATCATGGTTTGAAAAACTTTTCAGAATTTTCTAAATAGAAAATTTCTATCATATTACTTAAAACAAACAACAAATTCAAAAATTTCTATCTGAGAAATATTTGTATTTAGAAGTTTCGTATATTAAAAAAGAATTACTAGAGGTTTGTCACAGTAATCAATATCAAAAGGAATACAAGGATAGATTGATATTAAACTAGCCTTTCATAGATGGCACTATAATACTTGATACTGAATTGGTTTCGGTGTTGACATTTGCCATTCATGACATGACGTCTGTCAAAATTTTAAGTTTTAAAAACAATTAGTTTGGTTTTACAGCCGTCAAGAGCAAGCAAATTTTGTGTTTTCGGAGAAATGGAAAAAGTCGAGTATCGTTCGGTGATTAAGTTCCTCCACAAAAAGGGTAAAACGAATATGCAAATCAAAGCCGACCTGGACGAAGTTTATGGTGAGGTTGCACCTTCCTTAGAAACAGTAAAATTTTGAAAACCTGAATTTGTTCGTGGTCGTACGAGTGTTTTTGATAATGAGTGTCCCGGGAGGCCAAATGAAGTCACCATGCCGAAAATGATCAACGAAGTCCATGACATGATTATGGCAGATCGTCGAATTAAGCTCCGCGAGTTAATAGAGGTCCTAAACATTTTCTACGAACGCGTACACAATATCATTCACCATCATTTGGACATAAAAAAGCTATCCGCGCGATGGGTGCCAAATGCAAAAACGTGTCACCAATTAGAAGACGGTTTTGGCGATGATACGGCGCGATCCGAAGGATTTTTTTCGCCGAGTTATCACCGTTGATGAAATCTGAGTGCATTATTACACACCGGAAACCAAAGAACAGTCGAAACAAATGTACATTCGGCCGGTAAAGGGATGGCGACTGTTTTCTGGGATGCGAAGGGCATCATCCACATCGACTACTTGAAAAAAGGAAAAACAATCAATGGTGAGTACTACGCAGCATTATCGGATCGATTCGATGCCGAATTGCGTCGAAAATGCCCCGGTTTGGAACACAAAAAGGTGCTCTTTCAACAAGACAATGTTGAACGATCGGCTTCACCGACTCACCGATCGGCCGTCGCCATGGAAAAATTACACGAATTGGGCTATGAATTGGTTGAACACCCACCTTATTTCCCAGATCTTGCCGCCAGAGATTTTTTCCTGTTTCCAAACCCCAAAGAATGACTCAGAGGACGCCGTTTCGCAACAAATGATGAAATCGTCGCTAAAACTTCGGCCTATTTTAAAGAGCTCAAGCAAAAGTAATGTTCGGATAGGATAAAAAAATTGGAACATCATCTTACTATGTTGAGAAATAAATCGATTTAATTCCATAAAACTTGTTTTTTCTATCAAAGGCTAGTTTTATATCAATCCACCCTCGCATATTATTAATAATTGTGCTCGCCATAATACTGTGCGTAGACTACAACCGTATTTTCATACTACCTAAATCAATTAGAAGGATGTAATTCCAAATTGAAACATAGTTTCAATTTGGAAACAACATTTTCATTATTGTGAAAAATAAAGGTATTTTACTCTGAACTTTGAAAATTCATATTTTTGACATACCTGGTATAAAATTGATACATTTTTAAAAGCTTTTTATAAACAATAAATTTTACAAAAATGAATAATAAAACAGTTATCATATTTGTATTGAATAAAAATAATGGGTTGTGAATTGGAAATTTGAGAAAAATTTTTCTTTCAATTAGAAGGATGTAATTGCATATTAAAATATAGTTTTTAATTCTAGACAATTTTTCATAATTACAATTGTTGATATTGTGAAATATAAAGGTACTTTACTCCTAAGAGAAATTCATATTTTTTACAAACTTCGTGTAGGCTTAAAAAATTGATATTTGATGGTTGCGTTTTAAGTTTTTAGATAATGCAGAACTTTTATAAAGAAAACCTTTCTTTCGTAAAACTAAGATTCAAAAGTTTTACATACGATGCCGACTTAATTGGACACACTGTATATATATATATATATATATATATATTTATATATATATATATATATATATTATTGTGATATTTAAAGTCTTGGTGCGCCAAGCAATTAATTATCTAATTAATTAATTGATTAATTAAAATTATTTAAATGATATGATTATGACTCTATCACAATTTTTAATTCTTTTATCTCAGGGTTAAATTCGTGCTTCAATATCTATGCTATTACATGTGAAAGGTAAGGTCCAAAGAATACCGGAATAATAAAAAACACATATGATCTAACACTATATATTGAAATAAAAATAATGAAATAATTCACACTCAAAAGTTTTCAGTAAACAAAATCTCATATAATAATTCTCAAAATTTTGTTCTACGTACGTGAAAAATCAAAATTAATGGTACAAACAATATTAGTTGAAATCTCAAAATACAAGTATTAATCTAAATCTCCTAATCAAAATATTTATATCCTTTCTAAATTAAGTGAAAAAAATTGTGTTATCAATGAAAGAAAAACTGCAAAAAAAAAACAAAACTATCTCTCTCTGATGATGAGTGGTCCAAATCCTTGTTATTTGTAGACTATACTATTTACTTGTGGCCGCTCCCTAAGTAATAAGCAATCTTACAATAAATTGTTGCAAGTATATTGTCCTTAATGATCTCCTTCAAAAGCACAAATCATTCAAATTATGATAGCCTTTCTCCTCTCGATAAACTGAATCTCTCGTTGGCCCGAGTGAAAAATGACTCTTGGAATATCTTCTCTTTACGATAAACTGAATCTCTCGTTGGCCTGAACAGTGACTCTTGGAATATAAGTAGAAAAATATGACTTACAATATTTTGCTGCTTCAGCTTCTGTCAGATACACTAACTCCACAAAAACTCACTAACATTCAATACTACTGCTTGCTACTTCTCGGGAACCGCCAGAGAACAATCACTGTTCGTCTTACAGACTTGGAAAACCAACTGACCATCTTTTCTCCCTCAAAATTCTAGCTAAACTTTCATTCCTACATACCTATCCCTTCTTTTTTTAATCTCCGCCAATCAAAACTCGTCACAATTCCCCATTTTTTCATTCCGATAACAAACAAATTTTTACCTATAATTATAAAATTTCCTAAAACTTATTTACAAATAATATTTTTCTATAATTCTTAAAAACTAACAAAAACATCTTTCCAAATCTCTTCTATTGTCTATAATCGCTGCGTTAATGTATTTGGAAAAACCCGGTTCAATTGTCTTTGGGATTTCACTTAAAATTATGCGGGTCACTCAAGTATAGTATAACAAAAGGAATAATTTATGCTTAGCTTACATTTTGTTTAATACAGGTAATCCAAAAATTTAAATATTTTCCTTCTTCGAAATGTTTGTTGGGTATTATCCTAATTATCTGAATTATTTTAATGTTTTTGAATCTTGAAATATTTTAGACAAACCAATATCTTTCTCGATTTTACATATCATAACAATATATATAATATATATATATATATATATATATATATATATATATATATATATATATATATATATATATATTATGTATATATATTACTATACGTGAATTTTCAATGATCTATTGATTATAACTTGAATTTTCATTAAACAGTTTCATAAAAACAATTAGAAATATTACCCATTACCCTTCGTCTTGATGTTTCAGGTTCTAAAAACCAAAACTATTTACCGCGGAGCCAAACCCGGGAAACAACGGAAATTATATATATATATATATATATATATATATATATATATATATATATATATAATTATATATATATATATATATATATAATTATATATAATTATATATATATATATATTTATATTTATATATATATATATATATATACGATTTTTATAAGGCAATTTTTACAAACATTAAATTTAAATTTATTTTATCAACAATAACGTTTATTAAATAAAAATAATTAAAATAAACATTACCAGCAAGTCAGGTTTTTGAAGGTAATTCAGATCTACCAACGAGACAACAATGAAAATAAATGTATCTTCATAGTCAAAAGCCATCGGTCGATCAACAATAGCAATAACTTTGTAAGTGATGCTTCCATATGGACAATTATATGTAGAAGGAATATTATTGGGTAGTATCAAACTAAATGGATACATGTGTTGACCAGTTGGAAGTTTAGTTGTTCCAGAATCTGCAAATATTTCAAACATGTTAAGAACAAAATAATATACAACCATAACATTTCAACTTACGTCCGCCATGCAAAATTACTTCCGTAGAGACAACATAATTGTCTGATTGTACTGTCACATCCCTTGTTTTTGATTCATTACTGCCAGGTTCTGTATAGCTTTCTGTAGTTGTCCATTCTGTGTGCTCATGACCAATCATGCGCACTTTCACATCTAATAACAAATAAACCTCGTAAATTTGTGGGAAAATACATTTTTGCAACTATTCTCACTTATTTAATCAGACTTATTTTAAAATTAGTTATAAAATATATTATATGGCCATTCGTACTGTCATAATACATAAAATTGATGATTATATTTTTTAATCAGGTAGTGTTCTTTTTTAACGTATTGATTAATTTAATTGTATTTATTGATTTACTTATTGATATTGTTTAATTATTAATATATCTATATTAAAAATAAAGAATGGAACAGAAAAGTATTTTTAAAGTGTCTAAATATTTATTTCCTAGTTGAGCGCATTCGGCTTACAAAGCCATCTTCAGAGCTATGGTCAAGTTTTTAAAGTATAACTACTAGGAGATATCTCATTTGGTAAAAAAAACTACAGAAATTTTCTTTTTAAGCTGGTTTTATCAAGGGATCACTCCTAGTAGTGATAATTTAAAAACTTAACCATAACTCTAAATATGATTTTGTAAGTCGAAAGCGCTCATCTAAGAAATAAATCAGAAAATACTTTTCACTTCAAAAATACTTTTCTTTTCCATTCTTTAATTTGTAATAAGTGTGTACAAAAAAATATCAGTCCTTTCATTTTTCATATTTATATTAACAATTTGACTGATTATTTTTTTATATACAATATGGAACTTACTTTAAGAGCCTGAAAGCGGGCGAAAATATGAAGGAATTGTGGATAAAATGTAGAAATATAATAACTGAAAAGGTATTGGAAATATTGAAGAAAACCAAACCAGTTAGACAAAACGAATGGTTTCACGAGGACTGCCAAGAAGCAAAAGAAAGCAAAAATAGAGCACACCTAAAGACAAATCAAGCTAGATGCACAAGAAGAGCAGGAGAGAAATACCGGACCCTAAGAAGGGAACACAAAAGATTACATAAAAAAGGCAATTTGAAGAGAAGCAGTAAGAAAACATATAATGGCTAAGAAATCAAAACAAAACTCGAAACTACAGAAATGTAAGCAAAATGAGTAAAGAGTTTAAGGCAATAATAGGGAGCTGTAAGTATGGAGAAGAAAATATCCTAAGTGGGTTGAATTTTTCGACGCAAAATTTAACGGTCATTATATTGAAGAAGTAGATAATAGCGTAGCAGATCGAAATGATTGGAATCTGTTCAACCCAAACGAAAGACCAACTATCACTGAAGAGGTTACCCAAGCTATTAAAAAGCTTAAAAATAATAAAGCACCAGAAACAGATCAAATTTGTGGTGAGCTCTACAACTCTACATGGTGGCGACGCTCTGCTACAAACACTGCATAAACTTTTACTTCTTGTCTGACAAAATGAGACAATGCCCCGTGAATAGTTTCCAAGCGTGATATGCCTGTTACATAAACAAGGCGACCAGATCCAGTGTTACAACTACAAAGATATAACCTTGTTAATAACTGCTTAGAAAATACTAGCAAATATTCTTTACGAAAGGCTACGAGTTTTCACAGTTGGCATAGTTGGAAAATACCTCGCCGGACTTACTCCAGAAAAATCAACAATTTATCAGATTCATTAAATCCCTAAAACAGATCCTCAAGAAAACATTGGAATTTAACATTGAACCCATCACCTTATCGTCGACTGTAAGGCCGCAGACTATGGCGTCAAGAGAACAGTACTATACCAATCAATGCGGGAGTTTGGTTATCCGATTAACGAGAATGACAATGTCTAACTTAAAAGCCAGCCCCGCCTTTGAGATAAAGGATGGACTAAGACAAGGGGATGCTCTATTTACAATAGATCGATACAAATCTTGTCATACTCTGATGAAATTGATATAATAGAGCGTAGCAAGCGAGATGTTGAGCAATATTTTTTAGAATTGGAAACGACGGCGAAACAGGTCGGTTTAGTCATTAACGAAGACAAAACCCAGTACATGTTAGTTACTAAGCCTCCTACAGCAAATGGGGAACGGGAAACAGTATTTGGAAGTCATATCTTTGAATGTGTTGACAGCTTCTCATAAATTGGCTCGCTAGTGACTGCTACCAATAAAACAAGCGAATAAATTAAAAGACGAATAAACCTTACAAATAGGGTATACTATGGACTCCAAAAACAATTCCACTCAAGAAATATCCAAAAGAAATTATTAACTGAAATTATTATGTACAAAACACTGCTGACGCCGGTCCTCACATTTGGCGGAAACATGGACTTTAACGCAGAAGAATAAAAGACTTCTGTTAATATTCGAGCGTAAGATACTCCGCAAAATATTTGGTGCTATAAACGATCAAGGGCAGTGACGCAAAATATTTAATTTCAAATTATACCAACTCCTTAATAAACCAGATGTCGTAACGTTCCTTAAAACATAGCGACCTAGATGGGCCGGACACGAATGCCTGACAACATGATTGCTAAAAAGCTAACGACAGGAACACCTATAGGAAGAAGCAGAGGCCGACCGTAAATTAGGTGGTTAGATGGAGTTAAGACTGATTTAGGGATACTAGAGATCAGAAGATAAAAAGAAACCGAACAGAATGGCAACTAATCTTAGAGCAGGCCAGGATCCATAGAGGATTGTCAATACAACGATGATGATGATGACTTAATTCAAACACATCAAGAAACAAGTTCTTAGTATTAAGAATAATGAACAAAATTAAATGGGTTACAAACGATAAGTTTATTAATATAATCTATATACCCTTAAGTTTTGAACAGGAAATCTCTGGGCTACCATTGTAGGATCTTATAGAGAGACTCAAGAAGAGAAGAAAATCAAATTGATTTTGCTTTAATCAATCATAGGTTTAAATCAAGTATCCAGATAGCAAAAACCTACCAACGTATGAACGTAGGATCAGACCACAATTCAGTCGTTATCAATCTCAAACAAATATTAAAAAAAAAATACGCCGAAATAAAAGAAATAAGTGTAATATTGAAATACTAAGAAACGAAGCTAATAAAGAAAAAGTAGTAACCAAACTTGAAGACATGAAAAAAAGTTATACCAGAATACGAAGGAATAAAAAAAAAGATGTGACAAACTATACAAATACCATAGGTTGGAGTACATAGAGATGAACTTAAGAATACGAGAAGTATGAAACGGAAAAAATGGATGACGGAAGATATTTTTTAACTTATGGAAGAGAGAAGAAAACACGAAAACAACCCACATTTATATAAACAAATCCAAGGAACCGTGGATTCAAAAATCATGGAAGCAAAAGAAAAATGGATAAATGAAATGTGTGACGAAAAAGAAAACCTAGACAACAAACATGATATATTCAACATCTACAAAACATTAAAAGATACCTCCAATAATAAAAAAAAACCTAATATACCCACTCTAGCTGACAACAAAGGAAGAATAATTATAGAAAAAAGTTAACAAATCAATTGAAGTATGGGAGGAATTTATCGAAAAATCCTTTGCGGATGACATACCTGAATTAGTGCAACAGACGTAAATGTGGGAGATGGAAGGATCCACAATCCTAGACGTAGAGCTAAACATGCGATACAATGTGCAAAGAATTAGAAAACTTGTGGACCAGACTGTCTACTGTCATTGCCCATAATGTAGCATCCAAAGAATTTTTAAACTGTTTGTCCTTTGTCTATTGTTAGTTTTTGTGTAGATGTATTTAAATGTTTATGACATTCGATGATGTGCTGGATAGTCAAAGTTTGATGAAATGCCCCCGAAGATGCTCTGAGAGCGAAAGTACTTGGGCGGCAAGATTTAATAAAAGATAATTGTGCTTGCTCGATATCTGCCTCTTATTTGTAAAAATTCATATATGAAAGTGGCGTAGTACCAAAGGTATGGCCCAACTCAGCAGTTTCTATACCATAGAGATCTAGTTCCCGCAACTGCGACGAACTTAGACTAATAAACTTAATCAGTTAGCTACAAAAAATATTCTTAAATATCGTACATATACAGAATCGAATTTATACAAAATGTGAAATAGACATAAGTGACTATTAGTTCGGATTTAGAAAGGCACTGGGAACAAGAGAGGCGCTGTTTGCGACTCAAACACTAATTCAACAATACCTCGATCACCAGAAAAAAGAATCCCTGTTTGATTTACTACCAGAAGGCTTTTGATGAAATGAAGGCTTTTGTATGAAAAATTGTTGTATAAACTACACAAAATAAAGCTAGACGAAAAAATCTCACAATTCAAAACCTTTATTGGAACCAGGAACAAACCTTAAAATATTCCAACCACACTACTAAAATCGACCGTGTACAAAGAGTCTTGTACAAGACTCAAGACTCCGTGTACAAGAGTCAAAGTTATTTGTTTGCACCAAATTATTTTTTTTTGCAACAATATAAGTCAGAAAATTATGTAGTTATAGTAATTATCCAGGTAGCTTCTGAAAGAAAAAGATTTATTCTGTTAATATTATTAAAAAAAAAAACGAAGAAAAATAATTTTAAATATTGCAAATTATTTTGCAAAAACATGTCGATTTTTTGCTTATCAACAATTAGAATAACTTTGTAACCATTGCCTGCAAGAAACTGATTGTTTCATATATTTAAAAAGAAAAAAAAGTTGACCGAGGGCACTTTTTGACGAAGTTAGTGTCTTTTTTTTTAAATCGATATCAGCTTTGTTTATAACAATTAAGAAATCTTATTATGGTCATCTGAAAGAACATGTTTTAAGAGAGCGGTGGAGAGGAAAGAAGCTGTGAACTGTATCTCTGTTTCTTGTTTATGGATTTCGACGTTTATTTTTTAATTTGTATGTACAAAAAATGAATAATGTGTTTGAACGTTAAAGTTAAGATGTTTGTCGCCAAAAATCGCCATTTTTAATCGTTTATTTACATTTTACGTTTAAAATATTTTACGAAAAAATACAAGAATAACGTTCGTCTTAGAATAATTCAAATTATTAAAAGAAAATAATTTTGAAGCAAAAAATTTTTGTTATAATTTGTTTAAAAAAGTTTATATTAATAAATAAT